TGAATTTTAAGTTTATAGGGTTGACTCAACATGCCTAATTAATCTAAGACATCAATAAAGATAATTAAAAAAGAAAAAGAAAAAAGATTGTACTCTGTTGTTTATGAAGTTTGAAGTTACTCCTTCGAAAACAATCCGACAGAATCATCTGAATGTAAGAATTTGATCAACAGGATTTAAACAGTAATTCGAGCCCACCGATTTCACGATGTTTCCTTAAAACGAATTTGCTGCCTTCAATGGTGCTAAAGGCGTCCAGCAATCGTTTCTCAGGATAGAACGAATTTTCGTCTCCTACAGAAGCAGCACTGCAATCTGCAGGAGTTCCAACGAACTCAGGAAAATGTGTTTTACTTCGAGACAATATCAGAACGAGAGAGAGGAAAATGAGATTCAAAGCACAGAAAGTTTGCAATGAAAATGGTGTAAATTTTCTGGTAGAGAGGCTGGCTATTTATAGACTTGTTCGTGGCCATTCGGACAGTCATCACCTTTCAAACAAGTCTCAAAAATTCGAACAGACATGCTGTTCTTAAAAGTTGTGTCTGTTAAGTCGGTTAACATTCGACTAACAGTCGATTGTTTGGTCGGTATAAAAGAAAATAAAACACCTGGAATAGGCCAAAATTTAAATTTCATATTGTACCCAAGAATTTGATTATTTACAATTTGACCCAAAATTTTAAATAAATTTTATCCAAAAAGTTAATATAGTGTAAAGGTCCACCCGCACTGAACCGGACTTGGACTCGGACTCGAACACAGGCACGTGCTCGTGCCGTGCCGAGCCGAGCCGGCCGGTCGGATGGACGGCGGAGGCACGCGCGCGTGTGGATTTATGATCGAACCCAATAGGATATAGGTCTTCCCCTTTCCAAAGACTATTGGTACCCCTTGGGGCCCAAACCCAATTCCAAACTTCCATCTTATAGACCACACCAAAGTTTCCTAACTTTCTTATGTGGGATAAGTGTTTGAAAAATCAAATTCTTCCATAATCTTTAATTTATGTGGGTTACTTTAACACTTAATATTTCATTCAATTTTAAATGGTTTTCGATAAATAAATACATCACGTTAATCATCTCGCGGAATAGAACGTGAATATACTAGGTCCCGTATTAATTAAAAGGTGGGTCCAGTGAAATTTAGGCTCAAAGTTGACCCATTAACCATTTTTTCCAACAATCCCCCACATGAATGAAATATGTTGGCCTTTATTCCAAACGATAACATCTGATATGTTTTTCAAAGAAAAAATTGAAGAAGACTGCATCGGGATAAGTAGTCAATGACTTTGAACTTTCCCTAGTAAAATCTATCGGAATTCCTTAGCCAATCAGTAGTAAGTTGCTTTGAACAGTCAGCCGTTTATGGAAATCTAGACAATAGAAGTCATACAGTTTTCTTCGAACACAGTTGGTTCTCACGTTTGTGTCCAT